TGATCTTGATTCTATCCCTCTGTTAATGCAGCCTAGCACTGTGTTGGCCTTTTTGGCAGCTGCAGCACACTGCTGGCTCATATTTAAGTGATTGTCCACTAGGACTCCGAGATCCCTCTCACAGTTACTACTATTGAGCAAGGTACCCCCTATACTATACCTGTACATTTGGTTTTTCTTGCCTAAATGTAGAACCTTAGGAGAGTATGATGATATTTCAGACTTGAAGCTAAATTGGAAAGTTGAAAAAAATGTCTTAGACGAGGGAATGGCAAGCCACTTCTGTGTTGTTGTTGTAAAGGAAGTAACATTGATGTGCCTGTGAAATCATCCAAAGTCAACTCAGTTTGAGGGAGATTTATTTAGTGGTGGTTAATGTTTTCCTAGTTGTCTTCTCCCTACTTAGAAACCTGCAGAGCGATGCTGACATTTGATTGGCCTACAGCAGGCATGTCAAACTGCCGGCCTGCAGGCCGGATGCATCATACTGAAACCGCGCCCACCCCATTGCCGGCAATGGGGGGAAAGTTGCGATACGTCGCGCGACATCATGTGACGTTGTGAGTTTGACATGCCTGGCTTACAGTGTTTAGCCTAATATCTGGTTGTCCATCTTAGCCAACAGATTGCCTCATGGAAGCCTTTAAGCAGAACACAGAGTGGTCAACTCTTCTCTCTGATTTTGTTCCCCATCAACTGGTGTCAACAGGCATTTTATGGTTTAGCATTTCAATAACTGTAAGGAAACAATCCTAACAGATTTTGTTTACTTAGGAAGAGATCCAGATCAAGCTACAGAATCTGAAGCTGAGGAGAACGGCTGTTGAAAGATCAAGCCAGGCTCCGGAGAAGCAAATGACTGAGTGTTTGGTAGGCAACTTCCTCACAGAGTACTAAGGAAAACTGTAGCAGTTTCTCTTTCCCACTTTGTTGATTTTATTGCACATTTCGTAAAATAAAATACAGCTTTATTTTAGGTGCCTGAAAAATAATCATGAGCAATTTTTGTCCACTAAATCCAGAATGCAGGTTTATAGCCTATAGTTATTTTATTTTTTCTATTCTATTCTATTCTATTCTATTCTATTCTATTCTATTCTATTCTATTCTATTCTATCATTATATTATATTATTCTATTCTATTCTATTCTATTCTATTATTATATTATTATATTATTATATTATATATTATATTATATTATATTATATTATTATATTATATTATATTATATTATATTATATTATATTATATTATATTATATTATATTATATTATATTATATTATATTATTACATTAACTTACATTACATTACATTACATTATTACATTATTTTATTATTATATTATATTATTATATTATTATTATATTATTTTTAATTTAATTTTATGTTTTATTTATTTAATTTCATTTATTTATTATGTATTTGGGGCATGATGGCTTAGCAGTTAAAGACACTAAGCCTGTCGGCTGGAAAGCTGACAGCCCGGATTCCACACCCCAGATTCCACACTGCACAATGGGTTGAGCTCCCGTTCCTTGCCCTAGCTCCTGACAGCTAAGCAATTCAAAAATGGGAGTAGATAAATAGGTACCACTTCAGTGGGAAGATAACAGCATTCCATGTGCCTTTGTATATTGCCATGCTGGCCAAATGACCATGGAAAATGTCTCCATACAATGCTGTCTCTCTCGGCCAAGAAACGGAAATCAGCACTGCACCCTAGAGTTGCATACCACTGGACAGGGAAACCTTTACTTTTTTAAATTTTATATCTTGTCTTTCCATTAGGAAAGGTGGTATGCTTGATGTTTCATCTTGTGAAGTAGGTGAGGCTCTCGTGAGTGATTCACCCAAATGAGTTTTACAAATGTGTAGGAACTTGACCCTGTGTTCTGTAGTCCTGGTATCACAGTCTAACCAAGTGGTGCTTGTCTTTTCAGTCCAATGTAATTGTTGTGTGTATGTGTGTGTGTGTCTCTCCAGGGGGAGGAGAACAGAGATCTGATTAATCATACTCCCCTCCATGCATTCATTGAGTGTATGGCAGGGGTGTCCAAACTTTTTTCAAAGAGGGCCAGATTGGATGAAGTGAACGTGCTGGAGGGCCGAACATTTTTACGAACATTCTTTGAACATTTAGTAATATCTAAAAAAAACCTGTTGGAAATGTTATTTATGCAAATCAGATGCAAGGCATTTCTTAAGGTCTTAAGATGGAAATGCCATGTATCCCCACATCACAATCTGTAATTTATGCTATTATAAATGTAGTCAAACTGAGAATGTAATTGGTAAGAAAATTTAGAAACTTTCTATTTAACAAGATAGAGAAAAAAATAAAGAGATGAAATGTGATAGTGACAAATGCAAATGTCTTCACTGAAAAGTAAATGAAAAATTGATAGCAGTATTCGTGAAAAAGACCTGTTAATCATAAGCTAAATATGAGCAATAAAAAAATCACATAGTTGCCAAAAACCTGAATGTAAATTTAATTTGTTTTGGTGGTAGTTTCAAATTAGGTCGTTACCATTCTGATTCAGGTAGCTCTAAAATATTGTGTCCATTTGTGAACCCCCAAAACAAAAGATTCAAAGTAATGGCACAGGTAGAGGACAAGGAAATCAGAGGGCCAGAAATGCTTATGAGACACTGAAGGAATTAGCTTCAGACACTGAAAGAGTGCTTAGCTTTGAGGGAAAAAATAATAATTGAATGGAATAAGATAGAATTTTTCAAGTATCTGAAGTGGTTTAAATAATACAGGTCAAGAACTGATGCCCATCATTCCAAAATGCAGGAATAATGATCTTAAATTGCAGAAAGGTGGATTCTAGCTGAGCAGATGAATACAGGAACTAATTATTTAGAGAGGTACTGGCTCCCCTTCACTGGATCTATACTAGCAAGGACTGGATTGTAATTTGGAATTGATGATTAATTTGCATTCTGTGAGGGAGATGATGGTTCAAAAATGTGAATATAACATTCCTGCACTGAGCAGATGGTTGGCCTTGATAGCTTCAATAGCCTCTTCCACTTCTATATGGATTAAATATTTGCACAGTTCATTATAACCGAACTCAGTTTCTGTGATCAATTAAAAAAAACTCCCTAAGATTTATAATTGAGACATGTAAGCCTCATCTTCATCTAGGACAGTGTTTCTCAACCTTGACAATTTTAAGGCATGTGGACTTCAACTCCCAGAATTCTGTCAGTTGAAGTCCACATGCCTTAAAATTGTCAAGGTTGAGAAACACTGATCTAGGAACTGTTCAGAGACCAGATACCAAACTGTGAAGAAGGGTTTTTCTCTTCTAACACTGAAACGGAATACTGAATCCATTCTTTGGTGTCCTGCCTTCTGGAGAGGGGGGGATTTCTTTTCCTGTCCTGTGACAACCTCTCAGCTCATACCTAGGTCTACCTGCAGTTTACTACAGTGACCATAATACGATCCCACTGTGAACATTACAAGCCCTCAGGCAGAGCAATACTCGGAAACTGTCATAGTTAACCACCAAAGCTGCTGCTGCTCCTGCTGCTGCTAAAAGGGGAGCCAGCCTGTCTCTCTCTCTCTCTCTCGCCTTCCCCCTCCGTGCGAGGACGCAGCTGTGCGGGAAGGAAGAACGGGAGCCAAGGAGAAAGCGGGTCACTCACTGGAGCATATGAGAGACATGGCACGCAGTATAATCCCCCCTTGGATGTTGCAATATTACAATCCTCGGTTTAATCCTTATGGCTGCTTCGGGGGCCACGAGGCCAAGGAGGAAGATTCGCCTTCCGGGAGTCCACCTCAGCTTTTTTAAAAACGCCACCACACCTCAGGCCACCAATAGCGCGCGAACCTCCAGCGCAGGCCGGAAGCGGAATTTCTCTCTCTCTCTCTCTCTTTCTCTTTCTCAGGTCCCGTTAGACCTGAGTCAAGCATGTGCACTGCCCTCAAGCAGAAGACTGTCTGCCATAGAAGGGAGGGCCATGGGAGGGCCGCATTTACACAGAGCAGGGAGGGCTGTTAGAGGGCCGTATTAAACCAGAACCCGGGCCGCAAATGGCCCGCGGGCCGGACTTTGGACATGTCTGGTGTATGGCACAGACAGGTAATCCTTGTTTAACAACCAGTCATTTTACAACTGTTCAAAGTTTCAACCACCATGGAACAGGTACTTTATAGCTCTTAAAATACCCTGGCCGTCATAAGCGGTTAAGATACCCCTCTCCAGCAATCATATGACTGCTTGCTTGGCAGGTCAGCTTTACGACCAGATGTAGCATTTTGCAGTAACATGATTGTGATTTGTAATGTTTTTTTTGCTGATTTCTGGCAAACAATACCCATTCAAATAAATGGATTCGCTTGATAGCCATGGCCGTTCAACTTAACAACTATTGTGAAAAAGGCCAAAAAATTATTTTCGGTCACATGGCTGCCTCGACTTAACGACCACAAAGTTTTACTTTCTAATTCCGGGCTCAATTACAATTGTAAGTCAAGCGCTATTTGTAATGATAGGCATTAGCAATAGATTGACAAATTTAGTATTATTTAATAATAGCAGTGTTGTGATATAGTGGCATTGCTCCCTGACATGACACAATATGCCGGTGCTAAAATCTATGGTTAATTGTACAGAAACAACCTTATTCTTGTTGACTTTTTATTTTCTTGCCCGCTTCTCTGTCGTCTGCAGGAAGACATCAAAGCAGAGAGAAAAAAGGTGGTTCAGGCATTCCAGCAACTCCGCTTGTTTCTAGAAGAGCAGGAAAATGGCCTCTTGGCTCAGCTGAGTGACCTGGAGGAGCAACAGGATGAAAGTAGCTCCAGCTTTTCAAACAACATTTCTTTTCTCAGTGACCTGATCTGTGACGTAGAGAAGCACTGTCAGAGGCCTACGGGTGAATTTTTGCAGGTGGACATTCTAAGGTTATGTTTCTAACATAAATTGTTGTGGCTTTTTCTCACTGAATCGAAGCATCTCTGCAAAGGTTCTTAGATGGCAAAACAAAGATGGCAGTCTGCGTTGTGAATTCAGTCAGAACAGAATTTCAGCAAGAATGACACTGGGTTTTCCCAGAATCCCCCTGACAGATGTTCTTTCTTTATGAAATAAACCCAGGGAGGTAGAACTTCGAACCAGGCCTCTCTCTGCTCAGTGGAGTGTTTCTTAAGCATTTCAAGGGGAATTCTGCTTTTAGGAACCTCCTCCTGCTTTCAGACTATTTCCTTTAGATCCCTTAGTTATATATTTTTTTTCTTCTTTTCTTAAAATTGTAAAATCCTACCAACAAAAAGTTGTTCTCTGATAACTTTTTCCTCTTCACAAAGTAACTCAAATGTCTCTGGTTTCTCTAGGATCTCAAGGAAACTTTAAGCAGGTATGTGATTTTTAATCCTTCAGGGTTAATAATGAATTTGAGTGGTTTATGGAAAAAATATTTTAAAAAAAAAAAAAAAATCTTTATGTTCCTGTGAGCTCTAGCAGAAAGGAAATCCCTATTCTTTCTTTTAAAGAGGCCAGATGGAAATTAACTTGGAGACAGTCTGGCTATCCTTCTAATTTTTCTCTTACCAGATATGCTTGGTGGCAGCCAGACATCAGGGAAAGCCACAGAACTAAAATAGATTGGGACTTCTCTGATCTCCTAGGTGTGAAAAGGGCGAGCTCCTTTGCTTCCAAGAGAAACCTGTTAACCTGGAAAAAGATCTCAGGGCCATCTGTCAGCAAAGTGCTCTGTTAATGGAAAACTTCAAGAAATTTAGAGGTACGGAAGCTACGTAAGATGTACACATTTCTGTAATTGTAGGGTAAACCTTGTTCCTGTGCAATGATCTCCTCCAAATGGGGAAAAAAGTAGAGAGGGTGGAAAGAAGGAAGAGATTAACTTTTAGGACTTGCTCTAGATTGGATGGGAATTTCTACTTCCATAAATACTGAAAGAAGTTATGGGGAAATAGCAGAAGTATTTACATTGAAATGTCCATCCCGCATTGGTCCAAAGTAGTATTATGGTCATGCTGAGGGCAGTGTTTCTCAACCTTAGCAACTTTAAGATGTGTGGACTTCAAGCTCCCAGCCAACCATGATAGTTAGGAAATTCTGGGAGTTGAAGTCTACAGTTCTTAAAAGTTCCCAAGATTGAAAAACATGGGTTGAGGGTATTATGGGAAATTTAAATGGCAACTCCTGATGTTGACTTACCATTACCTAAGATATTTTGCAAAACGTCCATTTTGTGTATGGATCTGCTGTTTGGACTGTGAAAATGCTGTTTTAAGCATCTCAGTACTGTTCTTAGCCTACAGAAAAGAGTTTTGACACTTCTTTTGTACTAAGAACATATTCAAGCAGAATAGTTTGCTCAGCCTGAAAACCAACCACTTGAAAAAGATGATCGAGCAGCAGTTACAAGAAAAAGAGACATTTTAAAAGAGAAGTGGGTCCAGGTCAAACATTTATTTGAGGATGATCTATGGGGTCCTGTTACACTTCAGGAAACAGATTGTACACTTCTTACTAATGATCTTGTAGCAAGCATGTGGCAAGAAGTTGTGTAAAGAACTCTCAATTTTCAAATTTCCTTTTCTGCAGCAGAGACAGAGCAAGTTAAAGCCATCCACATGTTGCTGAACTAAACTTCCCAGCAGCATTAGCCATCATGGCCAGTGATGGGGAATGCTGGGAGTCACAGGTGGAGCATGCTGGAGCATGGTGTGTAGGATTGTGTTACCTTTAAACAAGAAGTTTAAAGGTGTGCTCAGAGCTCCTGATGCCACATTTGATTCCTAATTCCATTCCCCAAACAGCTGTGTTCTGAAGAACTGCGGAAAGTTTTTGAGCAGAAATTCTCTGAATCTTTCTAATTTTTAGATTCTTTCTTTCATGGGTTCTAGGCCTCTGTGGGGATAATTTTTTTTAAATTCTTCCCACTGAGAACGATGGATGGATAGATAAACAGATATGTGTGTGTGGGAGGGAAAAAAAGCAAATTCTCCAGTGTGCTTTTGATAGAAGGACCAAATCTTCACCCTTCTCTCTTGTCTAGAATCACTGATGGACGAATTTCAGAAAAGCAAGACCCAAAGGCTTAATGCTGACCTCCTGAGTCAGACTGATCAGCCCCAGACCTTCTGGCCAGGATTGCATAATGATGCCCCGAGAGCAGACAAGAAAGGTGACGCTGCCTTTGCTTCGTTTGTTTTTTCACTCTTGCGTACCTTTGGAGCTTGCAGCCTGGGTAGGATTAAAAGTTGGCGGTCTCTTAAGTCTCGGAAAAACTTCATGTTGTAGAGGTGCTCCTTGGGATGCTCCTTTTCTGTAACATGCCCCCCCTGCAGCAAGACTCTACCGGTGAAAAGTGCAGTGGCATGAAGCCAACCGATTTGGATGGGCTTCTTGCAAAGAGGCACTGATGCAGGCCAGGCATGTTTTGAACATTAACTAAAAGATGCTGTTTCTAGACTGCCTTGCAGAGCTAAATACATTTCTTTGCGTAACCGGTAAATTTAGCACACACTTTGCTTGGCCCTAAGGCAGGCTTCATTGGGAACTGTCAGATCAGGAACTTGACGCAGAGAGTCTCTGATAGCTTGAGGCCACCCTTAATGTTCCTTTGGGAGGAGCTGGAAATGAACTGGCTTGTATCACACTCTGAGTCAGCTTTTCTTTTAAGACAGTTAAGAAACAGAGGTTAATGAAGTTAATGATTCTTTTGTGTTAAGTTTATTTCTGTGTAATACTTAACACTATGAAGCTGCAGGAGTGGTTTGCATGTACCATATTTCCCCCCAAATAAGACCTGGGCTTATATTTTTTTTTGCCTCCAAAAGAAGCACTAGGTCTTATTTTGGGGGTATGTCTTACTCGCTTACTTCAGGACTGCTGCAGCCAGGCCTACCACACCCTGATACCTGTCGCTCTGCTACCTGATTTCTTCTGCGGCCGCTCATGGCCGCCAGCAACCAAAAGAAGTGGCCAGTGGCCACGCAGGCTCCTACTGGATGGGGCTGCTGCTGCTGCCGCCGTCATGAGGCAAGGCAGGTGTCGGGGCGTGGGAGGCCTGGCTGAGGGGGCCCTGAGGTAAGCGGGTGTGGGGTGAATGGGGCAGCTCCATCCCCCACCTCTGCCCTAGTTTGATTTTTACACATGCACCTTGTCCCACCTTGTATAACCAGACAGCGGGATGGAGTGGGCGGGGTCTTAACTAGGGCTTATTTTGGGAGTAGGGCTTGTATTAGGCACACACGTACAAATCAAGCTAGGGCTTATTTTCAGGATAGGTCTTATTTTAGGGAAAACATGGTATTTCCTACTTTAAAGGATAAGAAATTTAAAAGGTGAGCCTATTTGGTCAAAGGCTTAAAGCACCAGGCTAGAAACGGAGACTGCATTCTAGTGCTGCCTTAGGCACTAAGACAGGAGTAGGCAACCTTGGCTCTTTTATGACTCGTGGACTTCAACTCCCAGAATTCCTGAGCCAGCATGGCTCAGCTTGGAAACCTCTCCCTTTCCCCTCAGCATGGCTGGCTCAGGAATTCTGGGAGTTGAGGTCCACGAGTCATAAAAGAGCCAAGGTTGCCTACCCCTGCACTAAGCCAACTGGATAATCTCACTCTCTTAGCCCAACTCACCTCACACTGTTGTGGTGCGGAAAATAGGAGGAGGAAGGTGTGTTTGCCGCCTTGAATTACAGGCTGTTCTCCGCTTACGATCGGTTACTTAGTGACCATTTGAAGTTATGACAGACCCTGAAAAAGGGAGTTACAACGCCGATCCCCGATTTGAAGTTCTGACATCTGCCCCCATAGATCATATCCCCACATTTTGCCACTCAGTAACTGGCTCACTTTTAGGACCCTTTGCAGTGTCCCGCAGCACATTATTGTGATTTACGACATTTTTTTTGCTGGAAATCATTATTTATTTCTAGTTTCCAGCAAAAACATCCCCTAGTGCAAATGGGGTCGTTTAATGACCGTGGCATCTGCTTAACCACTGCTATATTTAATGACCATTGCTTGTTGTAAAATTGGGTGCGGTCACGCGGTGACCCACTTTACAAATGTCATGCCTTACGGCCAAAATTGCAGGCTCAATTAGGGTTGTAAATCGAGGACTATCTCTGTTTATAAAAATAATAAAGGTGGGATACAAAAAAAAAAACCCTTTAAAAATGGCATGGCTTATTTTTTTTTCTACTTGCCTAAGAGTGGCAGGTGTCTCACCTTACTTAAGAAATGATTGGGAGATGCAGATGCTAACAGGCGATTTCCAAAATAACGATTGCATGTTGAGGTGGTGCAGCTGATGCTGGGGCTAAACTGCTGGGCAAATGAACATTCACTGTTGCGTGTGAGCATTTGTATCGCTTTCCCAGCAGGAACAGCAGTTTGCTTTAGTGAGATAATTGAGAAGGCAGGTTGGAGTGGAGAAGTCAGCCGGACCATCACCCTTTTTTCTGTTTCTCTCAGTCTCCCCCAGTCTCAGCATGACTCTGGATCCACGTACAGCCAATCCCCACCTCTTCCTCTCCTTGGATCAGAAGACCGTCACCTACCTGGATCACGCACAGCCCCTGCTGGACAATCCTGAGAGATTTGATGCCGAGCTCTTTGTGCTGGGCTGCGAGGCCTTCTGCTCTGGGAAACACTCCTGGGTGGTGAACGTCGAGCAGGGGCAGAACTGGGCCATCGGCGTCGCCCAGGAGTCTGTGAGGAGGAAGGGGAGCCTTAGCCTCAGCCCACAGCAAGGCATTTGGGCGGTACAGCAGTGCTGGGGCCAGTTGCAAGCCCTGACCTCTTGCTGGACTACCTTGTTTCTGCTCAGGAAGCCCAGGAGGATCAGAGTAGATCTGGATTATGAAGGAGGGTGGGTGGCCTTTTTCGATGCCGAGCTGGATGCTCCAATTTTTACTTTTCCACCTGCCTCCTTCAAGCAAGAGAGGATCCACCCTTGGTTCTGGGTGGCCTCTGGATCTCAGCTCACCTTATGCCCCTGAGATTATTCCAGGCGCTTTGGATTTCAGCCATTTGAGAAGTCTTGTATAATATGGGACGTAAAGCGGCAACGTGACAATTGTTTGGAAGTATTTTGGTTAATCATGTCAGCAGAGAAATGACTTATTTTCTGTTTTGAATTCCTAGTGAAGGCACTAAACGTTACTGAAAGCACCAGTCAGGGATATACCGAGTTTTAATGGAAGGAGTTGCAATTGTACAAACTGGCTTTTGACTAGCAGAAAGCTCTGATGGAAGAAAAAATAAAAAGAAGCTATTTGGAAATGCTTACATACGGTAGTTGGACACACTCATCTCCCAGGAGAATTGTTCTCCCATACCATTCTGTAGCAAGAGTGCAAAATAAAATAAATGTGCTGGAGGAGCATGCCTAAGCAAAACATAAAACATGTTTCTAGTCCTCTTGGCTGCGTTTAGGAAAAATTGTGAGATGGCAGTTTTCATTAAGAATTTAGAATCAAACGGACGGCTGCCTGTCTTTTTGGCAAATCTGAAGTCAAAGCCTTCAACAGAGAAATTTCTGGGACATTGCAGATAATGTATATTCCCATCTCCCTCTCCTCACACTGGGGACAGAAGAGCTTTGAGTCTTGAAACTCCCTCACCCTTCCCCTCCACTCATTTTCTTCTGCTGTAGAGGCTTCCTATGTCTATTCCAGTGACAAGATTCCTGTGTGAAGTAAGTTGCATCTCAACTAATAGCAGAATTTGCTTTCTTTTTACAACTATTCTTAGGATGTCACCTCTACACTGAGTTGGAAATAACAGGTAAATTTTAAAAATGAACCAGGCAAGCAAATACAATCTATATAAATAAAAATGTAAATGTTCGTTTGTTCAAAATCTTAAATCTCCTAAAGTTCTTCACCGATTGCTTTGAAATTTTGACACAACGTTGCATTCGAATACACGCGTGTTTTTATATACCTACTATAGATGTAGTCACACCTGTGACAGGTAAAAACATGCTTTTTTGAAAAACAGCGCCATCTGTTGGACGTAAAAACAACATACTTCTTTTCCATTTAACCAGACTGAGCCACAGCAACGCGTGGCCGGGTACAGCTAGTTATATATATATATTTCTGTAAGGCTGTTCCACTGCACACTGCTTATGTTGTACTGGCATACAATTGATTGGATTTTTCTGGTTGCAAGGTTTAACATTTTTTATAATTAATCTTGCACACAGCCACACTTACTTTAAAACAAAAAATCCATGCCACTACTGCGAATAACACCAGATTGCTTCAAAGCAGCTAGTTGTGCTTCATTTTGCACTATTGATTCACTATTATTTGAATAACCATTTTTGTACTGCTTTGATCTAAAAACATGGAATGGAAAACGGAGAAGGAAGAAATATTGTGTACTGCACAGCTTATATTTTGGAACATCTCTCTCTAAAGAGGTATTAGACCAATAAAAATTCAGAGGCATTGTCACTGGCTTCATACATCAAGTAATGAGTAAGAAAGGCTGACCTACCTTAAGTGCAAAATACAATGCAATACCAAAGCTTTGGATTTTGCAACAAATAATTTGATCCACGAAGTAGAATCATAAACATATTTATTCAGAACAGCATTTTCCTTGTATGTGTGGTTGTAATCTTATTGCATTGTAAAGGCTCTCCAGTCTTGAGTATTGTCAAGTAAAACACCATTTAACCAGTGGGCCTAGACATCTCTGGCAGTTTAAAGACTAACATATTTATTGCAACATATACTCAGTGTTTCAGAGATCTGCTTTGTGAAAAACATGGAGCAGACATAGAAGTGGCCCATACAGTGTATATAGGAAAACGTTTGCTGGCAAAAGGAAGTCAGGATTATGGAACAAAACAGAGGTCTCAGTTGTCAAAGAGCAAAAATAATTATGGAATCCTAATAAATGAAAGAGATTGAAGTCAGCCAGAACTTAAGAGTGAATAGCAAGAACTTTTGAGTAAAAAAAGGATCCTGCAATAAGACTGCAATTTTAAACTTATTTGGTCTATATTTCCACAAAGGTGGGCAGGCTTACAAGTTTCAAGAGACAAATGGATGACTTCAACCATGGAGATCTTTGAGATACGTACATTTCATACGTGAAAATTCAGATGCCACCATTTTTAAGTGCAGCTCTTCCTAAGCCATCCAGAGTCTAGTGCAGCCATCAGGATGATGGGAATTATTAGGTGATCAAATTCTGTAAGTTATTATTAAGACAAGGGGAATGTGGTTAATGGAATGGTTATTAAAAGCCAGCTGGAGTTCTATTTCTTTTGAAAGTAGATAGCTGATACTACATTCACACGTGATCTATAGAAAATAGGTAGATGTCAGTTTAAGTTATTTCTCTGTACCTTTGGTAGCAAAAAAACACAAAGCTTTTTAATCACTTCAATGAAAGTGTCTTTAAACTCTAGCTTCACCAGTAAATCTTACCACTGAAGTTCTGCATATCTAAAAACACTGAAAAAATCCAATTTGGGAAAAAAATGCCAGAAACACTATTCTGTCTCAGCTGTTTTAAACAATATCAGCATTCTGCATTCTCATAAGAAGACAAATGCTGCTGGCCATATATGATAGCAGCTCAAGAATATAATTTGAACAGCAAAAATATCACAAGTTTATAAACCCTCATTGTTGCAAGGATAAGCTGAAAGCATGCTTCATAAGACAATAGAAGTCAGAGAAGTGCTAAACAATATTTCTCAATAGCCAGAGAATAGTATCTTGGTCTTGCAGCTCTTTTCTTTGCTCTTTTCTACAGAAATGGCTCCAATTACATCAACTAGCATATACTTTAGCTTCCATAAGATATCCTGGCCATGTAACCTATTATCCTTTAATGCAGCGGTTCTCAACCTATGGGTCATGACCCCATTTGGGGTCGATCGACCATTTCACGGGGGTCGCCAAGCAAGGCTGTCCGCCATTTTTTTTTGTCCGCCATTTTTTCCCCTTTTCCGGCGGGTGCCTTACCTCCCTTGGGCTGGGCCAGCTGGTGGTCGGCCTGCTCCGTCTCTGCCGCTTGCCAGCTACGCCTCAGCCGGCACAGGGGGCGGAACCACGCATGCACGGCGCTCCCGGGCAGGGAAAGTCCTCGACTTATGACCGGTTGGGTAGTCCTCGACTTACAACCGGTTTAGTCCTCGACTTACGACCGGTTGGGGGTCACGGCATTAAAAAGGTTGAGAACCACTGCTTTAATGGATCATTTGAAATTTGTTGGAGCAGAATTTTTTTTAGTTTTTCATGTGTAAAAACCCACAACAGTCTTACAAGTTTATTATCTGCGAGTAATAAATGAAATCCCACTGGATGGGATGAGATTTTACTCTCCTGTAAGGAGCACAAGATTGCAGTCATCATAATGTAGACCAAGGGTCTCCAAACATGGCAACTTTAAGACTTAGACTTAAGGATTCCAGTTCTCAGAATTCCCCATTGCTAGCGGGGGAATTCTGGGAGTTGGAAGTCCACAAGTCTTAAAAGACCCCCTGATGCAGACTGCAAAGAAATGTTGCAAAAGAGCTCTTCAGGAAGACTCAATTTCTCGTCCCCTTGGGACAGGGACATCCGTGCCAGGATTCTTTGCAGCGCTTTTCATGTGGACTCTCCGATGGCTAACCAGGTGGGAGCTTTGGTTAAATCGTTTCCCACACTCTGGACACTCGTAGGGCTTCTCCCCTGTGTGGATCCTCTGGTGTTTGTTCAAGTCTGAATTCCGGACAAAACTCCTCCCGCACTCCAGACAGTTGAACGGCCGGTCCCCAGTGTGCATTCTCTGGTGTGCCAAGAGGGCTGAGCTGTAGCTGAAAGTCTTTCCACACAGAAGGCATTTGTAGCGACTCTCTTCCTGGTGGGACTTGCGATGGACCAGGAGCTGATGAAGCATGCGGAAAGTTGCTGGGCAGTCCGAGCAAGCGTGCAGCTTCTCGGTGTGCGTCTTCTGGTGGGAGATGAGATGCGACTTGTGACCAAACCGTCGATCGCACTCAGGGCAGATGTATGGTTTTTCCCCTGTGTGGGTCCGCTGGTGGGCGGAGAGATTAGAGCTGGTGCTGAAGCACTTCCCACAGTCCGGGCACTCGTAAGGTTTTTCCCCCGTGTGGGTCCGCTCGTGGGCCCGCAGCTGGGAGCTCTGCCGGAAGCCCCTTCCACAAATGGCGCATTTGTACGGCTTCTCCCCGGTGTGGATCCGCCAGTGCTTGATGAGCACCGAGCCTTCACTGAAACACCTCCCACAGTCCGAGCAAACATAGGACTTCTCTCCAGTGTGGGTCCGGCGGTGCACAATCAGCGCTGAGCTGGTGTTGAAGCTCTTCCCGCAGTCAGTGCATTTATATGGTTTCTCCCCAGTATGCAGCCTTCGATGTGTTAACAGGCTGGAACTGTGGCGGAAGCTTTTCTCGCACACGTCGCACTTAAATGGCCGGTCGTTGGGGTAGATCTTCCTAGGACTGTTCTCGTAATCAAAACAAATCTCCTCCGTAAAAGGATTCTGATGCATGTCCAAATCCCTCTTCAGAGTTTTCAGTGGTTCAGACTCCAGGAAATCGTCACGTTCCTCAGATAATTTTTTTGTTGGCTGTTCCACACCAACCAGCAGGGCAACCCTGGGCTGGAGAGATCCTTCATTGCCTTCTCTCTTGATCCAATCTTCACCTGCTAGAAGGAGGAGAAGCTGCCCGTCAGTCATTTATTCTCCACTGTGAGGCCAAAAGGAATCTGGGATTTTGACCTCAGAGGAACAAATAGGGAGCAAGTGTAAAAAAAAAAGGGGTGGGACTTAAATCTCTCCCTGCACTCAAGGCTTTGTATGGCTTATTCCTGGTTGAGATAGTCTTGATATTTGTTAAAATCTTAAATGCCAAAAGAAACATCACTGCACTGAAGGCAGTCTGGCTCCAGCATGTGTATTCTATTCCTTTTTTGGTTCCTTTAGTACTAAATTGCAAGGTTTAGACAACTGTTGAACTGCTGGCTCTGTGGGTTCAAAGGGAAAATTAAAGCCATTTACTGTACGTGTATTAAATCCCACTCTGGAAGTAGGCAGTGATTCATATGAACTCTTAGACAGGACGGAAGGGAAAGAGCTGGCCGTGCAGTGTATCACACAGACTAAAAGACATATAGCTAAAAAAATGTGTGTGTATATATATATTGTTCTTTTTAGCATTTGTCTTACTTGATTTCAGGATCTGCTTGCCTAGTTCACATGGCAAAGCCATCAATGCATGATGAGACAAGGGTTTATTCTTTAGCCAGTGTGTTTCAGAGCCTGATGCTGTTTAAACCTGAGAGTGACATAGAAACCAAATGGCTTCTATGCTTGAGTGAGGTTTAGAACCTGGATTTCCCTATTCTTAGCGGGCGTGGTGGCCTAGTGGTTAAGATGTTGGGCTTGTCAACTGGAACTTTGAGACCTGAGCATCGTGTGACGGGGTGAGTTCCCATTACTTGCCCCAGCTCCTCCCCATCTAGCAGTTCAAAAGCATGCAAATGCGAGTAAATAAATAGGTACCACTTCAGTGGGGAGTTATAAGCATTCCATGCTCCTTGGTCATGCCAGCCATATAACTACAAAAGCGTGTTTGACAACTCAGACTCCCTTGAAAGAAAAACAGATGAGTACGCCCTCTTTACCTTTTTTTCCCCTATTCTTAGTCTAGCATCTTTACCACACCATGGTAGCAAGGTATAAGGTACTTTCTGTTATCTAACACAAGAACAAGTAGGCTTAGTAATAACTAAATAAATTAATACATGCATAGGCAGAGCCAATCATATAGACATACACACTGTGTGTATGTATGTCTATATATATGTGTATGTCTATATGATTGGCTCTGCCTATGCATATATTATTGATTTATTTAGTTATTACTAAGCCTACTTGTTCTTGTTGAGTTAGATAACAGAAAGTACCTTATACCTTGCTAGGTATGCCCAATGTGTTAAACCAAAACAACCAAATACACAAGCTTAGAGCAATGCAGGAATTTAGTGCAATTATGATTCAATTATCTGTGAGAAACTACTGTGTTGATTTAGAATAAATATTTAGAAGAAATAGTTGATTGGGTTCACATATTATATCACGTGATGTGTTTGTTTTCAGCGTAGCATGTTGTATGAACCTCTGTGGTTCTATACTATAGTTTACGGTGGGGGTGGCCAGCCCACTGTTCTATACACCAATAATTGTTCATGTTGCCAAAATTCAGTGGCAAAATTGCTGATTCTCAAGAGGGATGAATTTTGGCAGAAAAAGTCCAAAATAACATTGGAAAATCTGATGAAAAAACATACTTGTTTCTACACTTTAAACCCCCAAACAACTTTGGAAATGGTCTATGATGTTGAAATTTAATGAAAAAATGGCACATTGCAACATGAACTTCATTTCTGGATTGAAAAACATTGCAATATCGATGAAAATGGATTAACCAAATTTTTGGGAGGCAAATCATTCTCATCTCCAAAATTAATCCCCAATCAGACATATATATATATATATATATAAAGGAATTGATTGCCCAACCTGCTTCCTATGGGGATTTCACTGAATCACTGGTCATCTTTGGCAGCTCACTGTTGGAACCATATGGTGGCTTGACATTTAGGAAATACCTTAAATAGTTCTTTCAACAAGCTTGGGATCCCAGGCAAGTAGGGAGCTCTCAAGGCAGCTATACTGTGTGCAGGCTGTAGGTCCATAATTCTGCGGTCTTATTTATATCTTTTAACTGTTTTATATTTTTTAATTGTTATATTACTTATTTGATTGTTTTATTGTATGACGCCCAGAGCCAGGTATGTGAGATGAGTGGCTATATACATTTAATAAATAAAAGATGATTTCATCCAAATTAAAAATAAAAAGATCAAAATCCATGGGAAAGGTTCTTGTATCTTGCGAAGGGAAAGAAACCAACCCCGATTCTATTTTTCCTGAAATGGAAAAGTAAGCAAAAACATGTCACAAAAGAAAAGGCTCTCCCGGGTAGATCTCACACTCTTTCCGCAGGTTTTGGATCTTTTCTGCATTCGTCCACACAGCCTAGAAGCCACCCCAATCAATAAGGCAATGGCCAGCGCAATGCTCCATAATCATCTCTTTCTGGGCACCCCATTCCTCGGGAGGCACCCACGAAGTTGTCCAGGCCTCTCCCTTCCTCTAGCCCCATCGCAGGAACTTACCGGACTCCATGCCCAACGAGGCGCGCCGCTTTAGCGGACTTTCAGTCCCGAGGCGGCTCCAAGCCGCAGCGTCGGAAAGCTGATGCCCATCTCAGAGTCACTTTCCGTCCAAATTCTTGCGGCCTTTTGTGTTTCCCCACTAAGCATGGTGGGAAATGTAGTCTGAAGAGCGAAGAAGAGGGATGCCCGGAAAGGCACTCTGGGTAGTGTAGTTCTGCGTTGGCAGCTTACTAAGCGAGCGTGCACAATACAGTCTTGCGCTTTGCAGAGATGGGGTATCCTGTTAGGGATCCTTTTGTGGGTAGATGGTGGTGATAGTAAAGCGAGGGACTTGGGGACAAAAGCCCGGACTCCCCCTTTCAGCAAGTCGGTCCCCCCAAACGCTGCAAGACTGGCTCATCAGATCTTCAAAAAAAAATAAAAAATCCGCCTTTAGAGAGCCTTTCTTGCGATCATTTAGAAAATTCTTTTTCTAAACTTTTCAGCGTCAGCAAACATCAGTTTGCCTTTTTTTTTAACGACGAATGCCAATGACTTTTTTAAAAATGAGGAAAGAATATTGAAATAAAAGCATATTTAATAATGGTCAATTTTTTTCTTTAGGTGTACTTTGTGTATATTCATAGTGTCTCAAAAATGAAATCCTATAAACAGTATATAACAGTGTATAAAAGTATGTGAAATTCATCACATTTCTGTATTGCCTTCTCACGTAAGTGACTTAGACCAACTTACAATAAAAACATGTCAAAATAGAAAAGCATAAATAAGAACAAAGTTAAAAACAGAATTAAAAGATAGGTTACAATACATGTTCAAATTATTTGGCATTTTCTTCTAAACACTGCCTTACTGGTTGGATGCATGACCTTTAAATATTACTAAATACAGAATAGTAACATTTTCTCTGAAAAAATTAATAAAACATATTGTGATTAGCCTATCATATGTATCTCTGTCTGTATCCCCCTCTCTCTCCCCTCCACACACACACAGTGTGCTATCCAGTTGTTTTTGACTCCTACCAACCACATACATAGATTTTCTCCATAACAATTTAAACCTAACCTGGTCTTTCAAGTCTCCCAAAGGTGCACTCATTATCATGTTTATCCACTTTGTTGCTTCATCTTCTCTTTCCTTCCACCTTTTCCAGCATCAGAACCTTCTCTAAAAATTTGGGTCTTGGCATAATATGACCAAAGTGTGTGTGTGCAGGTGTATATGAGTGTGGTGTGCTTATACTTGTTGGAAGTAAAATCTGGTCCGTTTCCAAGCTGGGAGAAAGACGTAGGAGGCAAGCTGCAGTTGGAAAGGAGGTCTCCATTTATTTAGGAATCAGAAGCAATAGGCTCTGGGACAGCTGACAAAACAGTCAGATGAGTGAATGGGTTTTTATGTGGTTCTAGGGCTTTATGATTTAGATGTCCAGGTTTGTTGTGAAATGTACTTTAATCTATGCTTGAGTGTGCCCGTTTAGCATTCTAATTATTATCGCCTGATTCCCATTGTGCCTGGGAGGTCGTGCCCTGTCCTTGGAGCTGGGTGGGGAATGTAGATTTTAGGAGTCTTTGTCTCTCTGCTTTGTTTAATCTGATCAGTTCCAGCATTCTGTGGTGACTGTAGATGAAGGCATTTTGTTTATGAATGGAATAGTTTGTGAAACTAAATATCCATTTACAGGAGCTGACTGCTTGAGTCAGACATGTCAAACACAAGGCCCGGGGGCCAGATGCGGCCCGCAAAGTGGTTTCATGTGGCCCGCAAAGCCCTCCTGGAAACAGTGAAGGAACGGCCCCCACTGCCTTGGCCCTGGCCCAGGCTGGCCGGGAGCCAAAGTACAATTTTGTGGTGGCCATCTATGCTGAAATGCATTCAGTCTTAGCTCCACAAGGCCATCCAGAAACAGCGAGGAACCAGTCCCTGCTGCATTGGCCCTGCCCCCTGGGTGCATGCTGGGGAGGTGTCACCCTTTGTGAGGAATGAAGAAATGGACCATGCCTTGGCGCTTGCCCCGGTCCCACCCCCTTCTGCCAGAGACCCTCAGATCTGTCCCACTCCTGCCCAGGCCCCCACAGGCACCCTTGACGCGAACAATGTAGAGCTGGCCATGCCCACCCAGTAGGCCACATCCACTCCATCCACGCCCACCCAGTAGGCCGCACCCACCCTGGCCACACCCACCTGGCCCAAGGGCAACCACAATGCTGATGCGGTCCTCAATGAAATTGAGTTTGACACCCCTGGCTTGAGTGATTTTACTTCAGGGAAGCCTTTTCTCTTCTGGAGAGGTGGAGGGAGAGGCATTTATTTGCTAATATGAGGGCTTTCTTATATTAAAAGTGGGATGGGGATTCTCCCTACATACTGTATATATAAATTGGTTGCAATGGGCTGTATGAAGTTGCATATAGATGCATGGTTTTGCAGCTTCTGAAGGGAATCTTGTGACAGCAAAAGTTTCAGCATTGAGCTCTAGTATTATGAGGCCTAAACATTCACTTTCAAAAATAGGACAAAGCATAAAAGAAATAAGGCACGATTTTAAATACCTTTTCCTTTCATCTTCTGTGAATGTTAATGCTAAATGTCTTCTAGTGATTATTTTTGCCATCTTTTGAATGTGACATCCAAGGAAAAAATCTACAAACATACCTTGATAAAAATGATTTATTTGGTTAGCAAAATGGAATAGATCCAAAACCCAAAGGATCCAGCCTTAAGGAAGATTACTCTAGAGCAGGGCTTTTCAACAAGTGGTACGGGTACCACCTGTGGTACATTGGCACCTGGCAGGTGGTATGCGACCATCCTAGAAAAGTGGTAGTGGGGGAGGGGAATGAGCTGAACTGGTGGCAGCACCGCATAAGCCTGAGTGAGAGATGGCTGGAGCTGCAGGGCTGTCAGGGCTCAGCGGAAACGCCAGAATCAGTGCCAGGCTCCAGCTGGAAAGCAGCACTGATCCTGGTGCTTCTGCTGAGCCCAGAAGAAGCGCCGATCAGCTGGAATGTTGCAGCATCTCCAGGGTCTTGTGATTTACATTCAGATGCTTGGCAACTGATTCATATTTATGACGGTTCCAGTGTCCCAGGGTCATGGGAAGTGATCAAAACCTGCTGCAACCACCCAGCAGACGGGGGGAATAAAAACCAAACACCCCCCACCCCACCCCCGCTGCCAATCCTCAACAGAAATGCTCACAACAATGAAAACCTCGGACAGGAGGAAGAGCGCCGCCGGGCGGGCAGGCAGGTGTCTTGCTCGGTTGTGCTTGGGGGGCACTTTTTTCAGTACCACTGTAACTTCGAACAGTCACTAAGCGAACTGTTGTAAGTCAAGGACTACCTGTACCTTATCGCTTTTTTCCTTTTGGGGGGGGGGTCATCAAGTTTTTGACACCTTGCTAGGCGACTGGTGGTACTCGGATGTTCTCATATCCTAAAAGTGGTATAATGGGTGAAAAGGTTGAAAAGCCCTGCTCTAGAGCTGTCTCCCTCAACTTGACGTTGGGGCATTTTATAATAAGCTTTGTGTGTGTGTGTGTGCGGTTGAAAAGCAGAAAGTGATGTTGCATGATCTGCTCTTGTCTCATGTGCACATGTTTCAAGGCATCTGGGGGTTATGTTTCAGAGTTGAGGCTTACACAAGAATTTAAAAACTGCTGACAAACGGTGAAGCAAGATTAAGTACCTATGCAGAGTACAATGAAGTGTGCTCAGGGCAGAACGGAAAAGGGAAGAAAAACAAAATATGGTAAAGAAAACACTCCTATAATAATTTCCTCGTTTCCTTTATTCCCACCGTTATCGTTTGAGCTGCAAATGATCGAACTAGCTAGTACTTTGGAAAAATGAAGAACGACAGTATTAATTTATGGTATTTTGCTCTTAAAGTTAAAAAAAATATACTGCGCCCAACGTGGGGCTCGAACCCACGACCCTGAGATTAAGAGTCTCATGCTCTACCGACTGAGCTAGCCGGGCTGTGTGAAAATGGTGTTTCCAAACTTTTACTTAACATAAAAGGTATTAACTCTATATTCTGTATTCTGTTATCGTACTGCACTGTACTTATACTATATTACTATTCTGCTACTATACTACTACTGCCTCTGTAGATGATGTGAATCTTGACCAAAATTGCTTTCTTTGGAAAATTGCTCCGAAGTTTAAGATGCAGCGTACTCTAAAATCAGCAAAAGACTATTGGAGCACTTTGCTGTGAATTGCCATCAATAATTATGGAAAAGAAGAGTTTGCACTAAAGCATAGACATCTAAAGAATTGTTTTTTAAGATTATGGAACAGTGAAGTAAAAAGCAAAAGACAGAGGCTGTTTCTGCCCGGTTTCGAACCGGGGACCTTTCGCGTGTGAGGCGAACGTGATAACCACTACACTACAGAAACCCGCTGCTTCCTGCCTTTCTCCTATAACCTACAACACTTTAATGCTGGAACTAAGACGTTTGCAAAATGTTTTGTGGTTTCTGTTAATTAGATTCGGCTCCCAGAACGAATCGATAGACTTTTTAAAAGTATCCTGCAAACCAATTCTGGGAAGCAGCCAGCCGAGATGGAATACGGAGGCTATAATCTTCTTAAGTCTGCAATAAAATCCGCAGGTATCCACAAGTACTATATCAAAAATAGGGGTTCTTAGCTACCCGTAGCAAAGCTGCCTGCCCCTTCACCTCATCCAGAGGGCTCCGAGATTTGGAATCAGTATATCAAGTTTCCAGGCAGCCACAAAGTCGAGAAACAGCAGTCTGTTTTACTCCATCATATCTAAACAACCTATTGCTTTTCTCTGGCAGCATGTCTATTTCTGTAGGATCAAAGTGTTCAGTTCCATTTTAATTTTTTATTCTATTTACAAGCTTTATTTGTCACTGATGCATTTCCAATACAATAAATACAGTAGAACAATTAATATTGTAATATTCAAGTCTAAAATACATGTGAAAAAACTAGGTTAAAATGGGCAGCATTAGTGATTTATAAAGAGCCTTTTCATGAATTGACTACATACATTTACTGGGATTCATAACCCCTGGGCTTAAGATACATATGGGAGGGGGGAATACTTAATTAATTAATAAATAATAAAGCTAAAATGCCTTTTTTCCCTCCTGAATGCCTAAAAATATGTTAAACTTCCAAACCACATACAAGTAGTCCTCGATTTACAATTCATTTAGTGATCGTTCAAAGTTACAACAGAACTGAAAAAAGTGACTTATGACTGTTTTTCACACTTTACAACTTGCAGCATCACTATGATCAAAATTCAGATGCTTGACAACTCATTCATATTAATGATGGTTGCAATATCTCAGGGTCATGTAATCCCCTTTTCCGACCTTCTGACAAACTCAATGGGGAAGCCAGATTCATTTAACAACCATGTTACTAAAATTAACAACTGCAGTGATTCATTTAACAATGCTGGTAAGTAAGGTTGTAAAATGCAGCAAAACTCACTTAACAAACTCACTTAGCAACAGAGGTTTTGGGCTCATTTGTAGTCATAAGTTGAGGACTAGCTAGATATCATGGTTTTGCCATCTACATTTATTTATTTGTTTATTTAGAAGGGCTTATATGGTATTTAAGCCTAGAACACTACAACTCCTGTTGCAATACAAGCTTGCAGTAAAACAGACATTTCATGATTGTCACAAATCAGTTTCCACACTTCCATAGTANTATAATGGGTGAAAAGGTTGAAAAGCCCTGCTCTAGAGCTGTCTCCCTCAACTTGACGTTGGGGCATTTTATAATAAGCTTTGTGTGTGTGTGTGTGTGTGTGCGGTTGAAAAGCAGAAAGTGATGTTGCACGATCTGCTCTTGTCTCATGTGCACATGTTTCAAGGCATCTGGGGGTTATGTTTCAGAATTGAGGCTTACACAAGAATTTAAAAACTGCTGACAAACGGTGAAGCAAGATTAAGTACCTATGCAGAGTATAATGAAGTGTGCTCAGGGCAGAACGGAAAAGGGAAGAAAAACAAAATATGGTAAAGAAAACACTCCTATAATAATTTCCTCGTTTCCTTTATTCCCACCGTTATCGTTTGAGCTGCAAATGATCGAACTAGCTAGTACTTTGGAAAAATGAAGAACGACAGTATTAATTTATGGTATTTTGCTCTTAAAGACAAAAAAAATATATTGCGCCCAACGTGGGGCTCGAACCCACGACCCTGAGATTAAGAGTCTCATGCTCTACCGACTGAGCTAGCCGGGCTGCGTGAAAATGACGTTTCCAAACTTTTAGTTAACATAAAAGGTATTAACTCTATATTCTGTATTCTGTTATCGTACTGCACTGTACTTATACTATATTACTGTTCTGCTACTATACTACTACTGCCTCTGTAGATGATGTGAATCTTGACCAAAATTGCTTTCTTTGGAAAATTGCTCCGAAGTTTTAAGATGCAGCGTATTCTAAAATCAGCAAAAGACTATTGGAGCACTTTGCTGTGAATTGCCATTAATAATTATGGAAAAGAAGAGTTTGCACTAAAGCATAGACATCTAAAGAATTGTTTTTTAAGATTATGGAACAGTGAAGTGAAAAGCAAAAGACAGAGGCTGTTTCTGCCCGGTTTCGAACCGGGGACCTTTCGCGTGTGAGGCGAACGTGATAACCACTACACTACAGAAACCCGCTGCTTCCTGCCTTTCTCCCATAACCTACAACACTTCAATGCTGGAACTAAGACGTTTGCAAAATGTTTTGTGGTTTCTGTTAATTAGATTCGGCTCCCAGAACGAATCGATAGACTTTTTAAAAGTATCCTGCAGACCAATTCTGGGAAGCAGCCAGCCGAGATGGAATACGGAGGCTATAATCTTCTTAAGTCTGCAATAAAATCCGCAGGTATCCACAAGTACTATATCAAAAATAGGGGTTCTTAGCTACCCGTAGCAAAGCTGCCTGCCCCTTCACCTCATCCAGAGGGCTCCGAGATTTGGAATCAGTATATCTAGTTTCCAGGCAGCCACAAAGTCGAGAAACAGCAGTCTGTTTTACTCCATCATATCTAAACAACCTATTGCTTTTCTCTGGCAGCATGCCTATTTCTGTAGGATCAAAGTGTTCAGTTCCATTTTAATTTTTTATTCTATTTACAAGCTTTATTTGGCACTGATGCATTTCCAATACAATAAATACAGTAGAACAATTAATATTGTAATATTCAAGTCTAAAATACATGTGAAAAAACTAGGTTAAAATAGGCAGCATTAGTGATTTATAAAGAGCCTTTTCATGAATTGACTGCATACATTTACTGGGATTTATAACCCCTGGGCTTAAGATACATATGGGAGGGGGGAATACTTAATTAATTAATAAATAATAAAGCTAAAATGCTTTTTTTCCTCCTGAATGCCTAAAAATATGTTAAACTTCCAAATCACATACAAGTAGTCCTCGATTTACAATTCATTTAGTGATCGTTCAAAGTTACAACAGAACTGAAAAAAGTGACTTATGACTGTTTTTCACACTTAACAACTTGCAGCATCACTATAGTCATATGATCAAAATTCAGATGCTTGACAACTCATTCATATTAATGATGGTTGCAATATCTCAGGGTCATGTAATCCCCTTTTCCGACCTTCTGACAAACTCAATGGGGAAGCCAGATTCATTTAACAACCATGTTACTAAAATTAACAACTGCAGTGATTCATTTAACAATGCTGGTAAGTAAGATTGTAAAATGCAGCAAAACTCACTTAACAAACTCACTTAGCAACAGAAGTTTTGGGCTCATTTGTAGTCATAAGTTGAGGACTAGCTAGATATCATGGTTTTGCCATCTACATTTATTTATTTGTTTATTTAGAAGGGCTTATATGGTATTTAAGCCTAGAACACTACAACTCCTGTTGCAATACAAGCTTGCAGTAAAACAGACATTTCATGATTGTCACAAATCAGTTTCCACACTTCCATAGTATATTCTTAATACCCCTTGGAATAATATCCAGAGATATTCATACTATGTCATTTGTACCTGGAGTGTTAGTTTTGTTCCTTCAACTTGAAACAACTTTGACAGGCATCACATCAAGTTTGTTGTACATATCACTAAAATATAATGTGCTTTATTTCCATTTTTATTCATAGTAATGGCCAGATCTGCCTCCATATGAACACCTATTTATGTGGTCATTAGGAGTCAACATTAACTTCATAGCACATAATCAACCCATCTGCCTCCATATATGTGCTTTGTTCAATAAATTTGAAATAAATGGTGAAGGGAGATGAAATTTTTAAAAGATTGTGCCATCTAAATTTCTCTCTTTTTATGCACACCTTCCATTTTTGCTTTGTTCTACCTACAACTTTAAGGAAATGTAATTGCCTCTATCCGCCAAATGTTCTAGAATAAGGGAAAACCAAGTATTTATATAAAATAATGTTTATACAAGAAGTCGTCTTTAAAAGTCGAACATAAATCTGTAACCCGTAGATTAACCTTTATTGGGAAATTTACCACTGGAAGGAGGAGGAAGAAGAGGAGGACGAGGAGGAGGAATGGAGGAAAAGTGTAGTATGCAATAATTTGGAGCAATCGCAAGAACATTGTTAGGGGTTCGAAAATAACAGCGCTCCCGTCCTTCGCGTAGTACTTCCCCTATTTCGAAATTGTAATCCTCCACAATCATAGAGACTAAAATAATAATACAGAGCGCACCCAGACTTCCGGTGCATTTGTCGGAAACCTGTAAAGCCGGATCTTCCGGCGTGTGACCATAGCGACGTTCGACATGGAAACGTCGCGGGTGTCAAAATCGTTACGGACTTCTATTGGGCTTGTTTAAAGCGCGCGCCCTTGGCCCTCCGACCAGCTGTGGACCCCGGAAACTCAACTGCCGGCGGACAGGTCTCGCACACGAAACTCAGTCCGGCGCCTTTGCAGGGACCCCGGCGAGGCGTTGCCGTACCATAGAGAGGAGCCAGCGGCGGTCTAGAACGCCTCTCGGGCTTTTCCCTTTCGGTTCCGGTGTGAGGGTGCAAGGGGAGGTGATAAGTTTCGTAGAGTTGGGTCGGGGGACTGTCAGCCTGGCCCCGGCAGTCGCCACCCTTGCGGGCGAGCGAGGAGGCGGGCGCGAGCTCTTTGGGAGCAGGGAGGGGACTCGTGGGACCGGCAGATCCCGGGGTGCGGGCGGGCGGGCGGGCGGGGAGGAGCTGCGGGGGCAGAAGAGAAGCGGGCGGCTGCCGTCTTCTCCCAAGAATCTTTGGGGAGGGAACTTTTCGGCGGCGAGCAAGCAGGAAAAGGGACTGGAAGTCCCGGGAGGGCCGAGGAAGACGTTTGGCCTGTCGGCGGCGTGTCTAGTCGGCTGGGGCGTGGAAAAATTGGAGGTCTCATGGCAGCAGCAGTAGCTGCGGGGAGCTCCGGGGGCCCGCCGAACCCTGTTGCGACCCTGCACGAGGAAGCCGTCTGTGCCATTTGCCTGGATTACTTCACAGACCCGGTGTCCATTGAATGTGGCCACAACTTTTGCCGGGTGTGCATCACTCAGCTTTGGGGTGAAGAAGAAGAAGGCGATGACCTGGGAGCCTCTGGCTCAGAGGGGGATGCTGATGACGGGGGGATAGATGACCTGGGGCCTGAGGAAGATGGGGATTACGACAACGACCTGGAGGACAACGATTATTTAGGAGATGGAGATATGGGTGATGAGGATGAAGATGACGTGTCCAGGGATGAGTACGATGATGAAGAAGACGACGACGATGTCTGGGATGATGACGACAGAGAGTACTGGGACCAGGAAATATGGGATGCGTCTATGGGGAGTGATTTATTTTTTGATAATTACGATGAGGAAGTAATGGATGAAGAGCCAGAAGAAATGCCGGCAACGCCACCTACTCCGCAACGGCAGTCTTTTACTTGTCCTCAGTGCCGCAAAACTTTTCCTCGTCGCAATTTGCGGCCCAGTCTTCAGCTGGCCAATATGGTGCAGATCATCCGTCAGATGCATCCACAACCACTGAAGCCTATGATAACGTCCAATGACGTAGTGGACATGGCAGCAGCAGGGGATTCGTCAGGGGTGCCATCTACTTTAGCTGCAAGTCATGCTCCAAGAGCCCTATGTGAGAAACATCAGGAGCCACTTAAGCTCTTTTGTGAGACAGATGAAGAGCCCATCTGTGTAGTGTGCAGAGAGTCACAGGCCCATAAACACCACAGTGTTATGCCACTAGAGGAAGTTGTGCAAGAATATAAGGTATGGAATACAAGAAGATGATGTAAATGCTAGTATGTAATCTTGTTAAATTGGAGCCTTCTGTGTTATAAAAGCATTTATAGTACTATAATTTTTGCCAGGCTTTGACAAACATTAGTGGCATACTAGTATAAATATAAAGTCCCTGCTTTGCCTACAGAAAATCCCCTGGATGATGTGCTTATGCAGATGTGTAAATATAAATAGATCAGTAAAAATGCTCAGTAAACATTCTCTTTATTTAGCTGCTCTGTAATTTTCTGCCAAAAAACAGTATATAGTTTGTTTTCCCCTTTAACCATAGAAGCTACAAATTTAGGTCATTTAAGAGAGAGATGGGATTTTGTAGAAGCTGTATTGTAAAGATAAGAAATCTATTTGCATCAGAGGTATCCAAATATAGTGTGATAACTATGTTACCAGGACGTGAGGATTTAATACTTATTTCTCTGAACATTGGATTTGAACTTAGTTTCTGCCAGATGCTGTTTTTATGAATGTAGAGCATAAATACAATTAAGTTGTGGCATTCTTGTTATACTGGTTGTTTTTAGGCTAAACTCCAGGGTCACTTGGATCCATTGAAAAGGAAACTGGAGTCAGTTCTGCAGCAGAGGTCAAGCGAAGAGGAGAAAATAACAGATATCAAGGTAACTTCAATATTTCTTTAATTCTCTTAAATTTCCAGTCAGTCTCTTGTTTGAATGATCACCTCATTCGTAGTGTACATTTTTGTTAATAAAACGTGGGTGAAGAGGAAATGTCTTGGTCTTAAGAGCAGACGGTCATCTTTGTTCCTTATCCTGAAGTCAAGGATTTAGAAAAGGAGAAATCCCAGAGTCTTAATTGACATGCCTAGGAGTCAATCTGAATTTTAGAGGCCTGGTTTTAACTATAAAGTATATAGATGGCTTTATCTGCCAGTAATGAGTATTGTGCAATCCCATTCTTCTAAATATATCTCAGAAGATCTGCTGATATTGCCTCACAGACTGAGTGTATATGGGTCCATCAGTATTAGAATTGGTCTCGTCTTCTAATTTCTTTAGTATTCCGCATGGTCTAAACAGAGGTGACGTTAAATAGTATTTCAGGTTCTGCCTAGGTCGGAAAATGCTTAAAATAGTTGAAATCAGCAGAGCTCTCTTCCTTTGCAGAAAGTCATTTTTATTTCTTGTAAACTGTATAATGATTGGAATTGTTTTATTTATTTAAAACATACAATGTTTCTGTTGTCTCAGAGAAAGGATTGTAATAAATTCAATGAGAGCTGGTTGATTTATTCCTTGTGATTTTGCCTCAAGCATGAGTTTGGAAGTGGGAAAGGGTTTTCTGTCTTTCCCTCATAGACAAGCACAGATACGGCATCTGCCAGTTATACAGATTGCTATGATTCCTGTTGTTTATAAAACCAGGCAGATATTGTCTGGTCCTGCTGCCTGCTAAAGAAGCTGACATAGATTTAATGTGCTCTGCCACAAACTGGCATAGTCCCAAATCTTGGCTCCGTACCCTCTCAGCGTTGCCTTCCTTTTCCTTTCTTCATCTGCCCCAGAACAAGATGAAACTTGATATGAAAGAGTTTGAGTCCGACTTTGAGCGGCTGCATCAGTTCCTGGTTGGAGAGCAAGCCATGCTGCTTCACCAGCTGGAAGACCGCTATGAGATACTACTGGCCAGCCAGAGTAGCAACATCTCTCACCTGGAGGAGCAAGGTGCTGCACTAACCCGTCTTATTGCAGAAGCCGAAGACAAAAGCAAGCAAGACGGTCTGCAGCTGCTTAAGGTAAATTCTTTCCCTACTTGCCTGGATTCCTTTTTGTGACTGGTCCCAAGCCTACCTGCCTGTTATAATGATTAAGAGCAAACACAACGATATAAGCCTCAGATTGCTTGATTTGTTAAAAATATGAGTTCACCCTGTGGAATAGGCATTGCTTTAAAAGCTATCTGGCCTGTTGTCTAAAACAAGCATCATTTAAATAATCCTGGTGGTAAAATACTAATATAGCAATTACCTAAAAGACATGCATATGTTGAAATTGAGCCTTGACAGACTCAAGAGAGTAGATTTCGAACTTAGAACCCTCAGATTGCATAACTGACATTTGGCAGCTGAATTTTGGCAGTGTGGTTTCAGGCTGCTTTTCAGCGATAGTTAAGGGTAGCAGCGAGAGTAGTTTCTTTTCCAAAGATGTCCCACTTCTCTTATGGCCAGCCTAACGAAAGGCCCCCAAATATGATGTAATTAGATAGCCTCTATAAAAAGTCTGACCTCTCAGTATATTTCCCATCTTTATTTCAGGAGTATGTCTGGGCATCTGATCAACATCTCTTACTGTATTTGAACACTCAACTGTATAATAGGTCTATATCACCGGTGTCAAACTTGCCGCGTCACGTGTCGCAACTTTTTTCGCATTGCCGGAGCTGGGGTGGACGCGGCCTCTGCATGATGCAACTGGCCCACGGGCCGGCAGTTTGTCACCCCTGATCTATATGAATGCTAAAATGACTGTGGATTTTAATGAAGGTTTTTCAGTTGTTTAGGACAATTTAGAACAACGATTGTTTCTCAGGTTGCAATGTGTTGAATTTAGTGGACGTGATACGTTATGTATGAAAACTGGAGTCTCAAGTGAACAATATACAGTATTCGGGGTTTGCGGATATTCAGGTATTCACTTGGAAGTGGACTTGACTAATATTCTGTTCAACTGAACAGAACTAGAACTTGGAAACCTGTTTAGGTCACTGCATTGAATTAGATGTCCCACACATTAGTTTGTATTATTTGGATGGTATTACACACATGTAGAAATGGGTTGTTTTAGATCTGTGTTTGAATTAAAACAGGTTGGTTAGAGGCGAGACCTATTAAATGTGGGAGATAACAAAAAATCAGTTCCATGCTGATTTAGATTGCAGGTAAGACTTTTCCAAAGCTGGAGTGGCTCTGGTAGCAGAAGAGGCATACTAGAGGTTCCCTCTGCTAAGGAAGGCCATCTAGCAGGGCCCAAGAAGACAGCCTTTTCTCTTGTGGCACCCTCCCCATAGCATATCATCGAGATATTTGCGGGGATCCTCTTGGCCTTATATAAGGCCTTAACAGAATGGGGGCTCCAGAGGTGTGACTGAGCCGATGCATTTGTCATGCTGATTTATGATTTGAATTTCTTTTTATCCTGTCTGTTGCTTCTGTGTGTTTTTCTGTTCTTTTTGTTTCTTACTCTTTCTTTTCATATTGTTAGCTGCCAAATTTGAGATGAGCAACCATAGAGAGAAAGAAAGAAAGACTGGCTGGATCAGAGGTCCCCATGATTTATTGATTCATACCTATAAGTCTTATATGAAGAAATTCATAAATCTTTTAAATGATGGTCACAATGTGGAGGCTAGTTTTCTAGGGGAAGGCAGGAATGCTGATTGTGCCAACAGTCTGCTGCCTCTGAGCATTATCAGAAGCACTAAGTTAGGAGTCCATTAAGCTTAGGAAAGGTGGGAAGAGAAATTCCAGATTTCAACTGCAGGAGATATTTATTTATTTAAATAATGTGTAACCCCTCTGACCAAAGACATACTGGATGCCATATAAAGATTTAAAATTAAAAAAAAAACCAAATCCACAGTTTATAAAATCAATATATAGCATAAGGAGAGTGCTTAAGACACAGCTCTTTCCCAAGTGTTGGGATAGTGTGAGGTTAAAGTGGAAGATAACACGTAGGTTGCAACAGGGAGGTATGGCAGTAGCAAGTTCTTCTGTTTTTTGATGATCGGTTTTATTCTGTTTTGTTTCTGTTTCGGTACATGTTGCTTTATGTTTGATTGTAAGCCATCCATAATTTGATTTAGGATAAGCAGCTATACAAATAGTTTAAATAAACAAAACCCATACTGTAGAATACATCTGGAGTAAAAAAAAAAAAACATTCCAATTCAGATCACTGGAACAACAATATGCTATCAAGCAATGGGGCTTGCTTAATCTCATGGTTAATACTGGGGGTAATATCAAATTTTTTAATGCCTTCAGAAAGGGCAACTGGATTGTAGCCATCCAGATCTTGGGCGGGGGGGAGATGCTGTTATTACAGGTGCAATAACAAAGATCTATGAGGGGACTGCACTTTCATACTAAGAAAGCAATCATCTGTTTAAAGTGGATCTTCCTGATACGCAATATATCTAGCCATACAGTGTCAAGGATCTGGGTAGTGTCTTGTCACATTCAAACCAGGAAGCCTGACAAGTAGTATTTCTTCAAGGAAAGCTTTTTGACAACAAACACAAGATTTGGAACCCCAAGAAATCCCTCTCCAAAAAGCAAGAAAACCCTTTTCAGAAAAAGTCCACAGAAAATTCTGTAGAAAATTGGTTGACTTCTTTCAATATATTTGTTGTGTTTTATAACATCTAAATATATAAGCATCCTAACCCTTTTTCTTCTTTTTTTCCTAGGATTTCAAAGGCACTTTAGTCAGGTTGGTTGAATTTCTGCTGGTTATTCCTGATTTACATTCCTGAAATTTTGCTTCACTGTTAACCAGGTTGTATCTGAAAGTCTTTTTTTTTTTTTTAAATTTAATGGCTTTTCACAAATACCTTTGAGCCAATTCTGCAAATGACAGGTTGAGTACTCCAGAACATTTGGAAATCTCACCGTATTGTCTTCGTTTGAGTTTAGTATTAGCTGAGATACTAATTGCCCGTCAACAAGAAGACACACACCTCAAAAAAAATGGTATAAAAATTTGGAATAGATCGACTTGCTTGAAGTTAAGTAGCATTGAGCTTGATTAATGCATGTATGGCAGTTTGCCTGGGAGACCTAGATCCATTTATCTATGCTTGGCCATGGGGGAAAAATGTGTGTGGGGCAGTATCTTAATAGTTTCAGCTCAAAAGATTGTGAAACTGGCAACCTGCAGCTATAATTATTTTACCGTACGTCTAGCTACTGTGTCTATTAGACTACATTTAAATGTCATTAGCAAAGTTAATTTAAGAAGCTAAAACTGTGGCTTTTCAAAAATGTTGTTAGAATATTTATTGGAAACCTGTTCGCTTATATCTTTTATGGATCCATAGAATGCCTAGCTAATTTAGGGTCTAGGGCAGTGATAGTGAACTTTTTAGAGACCGAGTGCCCAAAAAACAGCCCCGCCTCCAGCCCACCCCCATTCCGCCCCTGGCCTACCCTGCCCCGCCCACCCACAGGGCCACAGCCTCCACAGCCCGCTGCCTTGTCCCCGCTGTCTGGCTGCCATGCCCTTGACTGTGCTGCTCCGTGTGGGCCACGGTCAGGGGGCAACTCTCCGGGGGGGACTACTGGTGGGGAGGGGGCCATGGGGGGAGGTGAGGCTGGGGTGACGGCACGCATGCCCACAGAGAGGGCTCTGAGTGCTGCCTCTGGCACACGTGCCATAGGTTCGCCACCACTGGTCTAGGGGAATTGCAGTATTTCAGTACTGCTTTCTATTTGTGGCAAAGTAGTTGGTTTTGTGAGTGTGATACACCTGACCGTAGCCTGTTAATCAACTGATCACAGTCATGTCTGACTCTTATGGGGAACAGAATAAGTAGATCCAGTGAAAAAAATTTTATCTGCCTGTTTCGAGAACTGCTTGATCCTGTAGAGATAGCAATAGCAATGGCACTTAGAGTGATCTACCGCCCCATAGTACTCTCTGGGCAGTTTACAATGACAGCATATTGCCCCCCCCCCAACAATCTGGGTCCTCATTTTACCAACCTCGGAAGGACGGAAGGCTGAGTCAACCTTGAGCCCCGTCAGGATTGAACTCCAGCTTGCGGGCAGAGTTTGACTGCAGTGATGCAAATAGATTTGATGAGGGGACCAATAAATCTCCCCCATGGTCCTTTTTTTTATTATTCTCCTATCATTTTAATGAATTATTTGCCTTGCTTCTCTTCCATTTCTGTATGAAAATAATACGGAGAACTTACACGTAGAAGTACTGCTGTAGCAGCAGAGTTACCCTAGGAACTTAACAGGTCCCAGTATGTTGTATTTTCTGTTCTTCTTACTCAGTGCTTTTCTTGCTGGTTGCCATTTATCTCGTCTTAACATGTTTGCTCTCTATACGGTCTCTTTGTCAGGTGTGAGAATATCACATTACAAGATCCAGAGATGGTGCCAGTGGACACAGGAAAAAAATACCGCAATTACTTCCTTATAGATGTTTTAATGAGGAAGATGGAGAAGGTCTTTACCAAAGCCCCTCAAGGTAAGGACACTGAGCTCCTTGTCTCCTGCAGTGAGAAATACAGAGGTGTACCACTGCTCCTAGCCACGTATTCAACCACTGTGCAATGGAAGCTAAGAATTTATTGTAGTAAATGTCACTGGAAGAAGAGTGGAAGCTGTGCAGAAGTAGAGATTCATACAATTCATGCTGTGAAAGGCTTGCATTTTTGGACTTCTACCCTGATGTTTTGCTGGAGTTTAAATAGATGAGTATTTCTCAAATCTGGGCAGATCCTGGCTGGGAATTTCGGGGAGTTGAAATCCAGATATCGTCAAGCTTTGAGAAACGCTGATACAGAGACCAAAAGTTTTGCTCCCTACTTAAATTGTTTTTGCTCTTTTTTTTCTCTCTCTTACAGCTGATTTGACTCTGGACCCTGAAACAGCTCATCCACGGCTCACTCTTTCCTCCGACTTCCGCAGCGTCCGACTTGGGGAACGCTGGCGGGATCTGCCGGATAACCCCAAACGCTTTGATTCCGACTACTGTGTTTTGGCCTTGCAGGGCTTTGCGTGCGGTCGCCACTACTGGGAAGTGGAGGTGGGTGGTCGGCGAGGGTGGGCTGTGGGGGTAGCCCGCGAATCGGCCCGACGAAAAGAGAAATCCTGCAGTGGTTCCCACCAGAAACGGGAGATCTGGTGTGTAGGAACCAATGGTAAGAAGTACCAGGCTTTGACTACCACTGAGCAGACCTCCCTCTGTCCAGCTGAGAAATTGCGGCGCTTTTGTGTCTACCTGGATTACGAACGAGGCCAGCTAGGATTCTACAATGCTGAAAACATGGCTCATATTCACACCTTCAATGCTTCATTTCGTGAGCGCATCTTCCCCTTCTTCCGCATTCTTTCTAAGGGGACCCGCATAAAAATCTGCAATTGATGCCATTGTGGCTGTTGCACATAGCTGAATTTATCACTTGAGGCCTCTGCTTCATCCTAGCCCTCCCATCCCCTCACCTAATTATGCCTGATAAGAGTTTCTCATCATCTTTGGACTTTTGGTGGATTCCTTATCTAGCTCTTATTTTGGATTCCTTTTGAGGGGGATTCCTTCCCTTTGATGAATTCAGTTTTGCACAGTACTACTCTGGTGTTTGACCAGGTCATGGATCTGACTTTATTTTGCTTATAATGCAGATCCATCTTAGCAAAAAAAAAAAAAAAGTGCTCTCTCTCTCCTTATACTTTTTGGGTATAATCACATGTCAGCTGATTATACCTTTCTCATCTTTAGATAGTTGAGACCCTGATCTTCCGTGTCTCAGAAGAGAAATTAGACCTTATGGAGCATGCAATTATAAGGTTGGTGGGACCTGCCATGGCTTTTTAACTTGGGTTTAGCAATCCAAGATTTCTTCTTGACTTTTCTGAAGATACCTAAAACTTTCTAGTCAGGCGTTGATGACCTGAACAAAATATAGACCTATGTATGGTAACTTTTCTCTGTTTTGAATTCCCCTGATCAGACAAGATGACTGTTCCAATATGTTCTTGGGATTGGATCAAAGTTCATGCTTTAAGCTGGGATGAAGAACATGTGGCCCTCCATATGTTACTGAATGACAGTTTCTAAGAACCCCAGCAATCATAGCCTATGTTGAAGGATACAGGAGTTGTGGTCCGGTACCATCTGGAACATGGAATAGCCCCAGTGTTATGTCTGTGTTGCTGTCACCAGAGCCTGGATTCCTGTAGCCCTCACACTAGCTTGCATTTTAAAGTAATGATATGGAAATATTTTGGCAGATTCCTAATGCTATTATTCCTTAATTGCTCCAATGCCTGTATTCTGATTTCCTGTTTTTTTTGCAATTTACTAATAACCAATTTAAAAAAATAGAATTGCAAGTTCTGTCCCATGTTCTTCTTTACGCTGGTTTCATGTGATGTTCCATTTGAAATGTCTCTTAATCTTTGATGCTCTTTTCTATCTCTTCTGCCATTTATCTATTCTAGAATGTCACATGCTGGCCATTTGGAGCAATGACAGCACCAAGTGCTGTTGAGCTGTTGAATGTCAGTCATGATTGTAGATGTGTGTGTGCTATCCCATCAGATGCTAAAAACCCATTATTGTTGTCTTACTCATTCTCTTTCTCTTGTCTTCCCACCATCTGCTTTGAATAACTTATTTTAGTCCTTCATTAGTTTTAGCCTTCACTGTAGAGTCTTCTTGAACCTCTGAAGGCTTTAGCTGTTCCACCCATATGTGGTTTTTTTAAAAATTCTTTTTGGCTTGACAGAGCTGCTTCTGAACTATTTTTTGCTAAAAAATATTAAAAGGAAATCTAGTTTTTTGGAAAAATGTTGAGAGATAAATAAAATAATAAATGATTACATGTTAAATGCTTTGCTGTTGTGGTTTATTTGAATATTGAAAATGAGCAGGTTCTTCGGAATTATTTAATGAAGTGGTTTAGGGTTGTTTTTTTTAACGATATGAAGAATTCTTACAATATTCTTCTGGAAGGACTACCAGTGGTGGCAAACCTATGGCACGGGTGCCAGAGGTGGCACTCAGAGCCCTCTCTGTGGGCACGCGCACCATCGCCCCAGTCCTAGGCCTTCAGCTGGGTTTTATAAAACCTTTTTGCTTTAGGTCTCCGCTGCCGTGTGCAAAAAAAAAAAAGGTTCAATCAATCAATTTCAACTTCTCGCAGGGAAAAAAAAAGATCTTGCAAAGTTGGAATTGATTGATTGAACTTTTTAGTCCCACCCAGTCTGCCATTACCGCAGCCACACCCACCCAATGGGCCACACCCACCCAATGGGCCACACCCACCTGGCACCTGATGATGCGTAAGTGGGTTTTGGGTTGCAGTTTGGGCACTCAGTCTCTAAAAGGTTCACCATCACTGGACTACACAATCCAATGGTTTCAGTAAAACCAAGCCTAAGGTCTAGAGCAAGGCTTTTCAACCAGTGGTATGGGTACCACCTGTGGTACATTGGCACCTGGCAGGTGGTACGCGACCATCCTAGAAAAGTGGTAGCGGGGGAGGGGAATGAGTTGAACCGGTGGCAGCACCGCACAAGCCTAAGTGAGAGACGGCTGGAGCTGCAGGGCTGTCAGGGCTCATTGGAAGCGCCAGGATCAGTGCCACTTTCCAGCTAGTTGGCGCTTCTTCGGGGCTGTCAGGGCTCAGTGGAAGCGCCAGGATCAGCGCCAGGCTCCAGCTGGAGCTCAGCGTTGATCCTGGCGCTTCTGCTGAGCCTTGAAGAAGCACCAATCAGCTGGATCTCAGCGCTGATCCTGGTGCTTCTGCTGAGCCCAGAAGAAGCGCCGATCAGCTGGAATGTTGCAGCATCCCCAGGGTCTTGTGATTTACATTCAGATGCTTGGCAACTGATTCATATTTATGACGGTCACAGTGTCCCAGGGTCATGTGAGGTGACCAAAACCTGCTGCAACCACCCAGCAGACGGGGGGGGGGGAATAAAAACCAAACACCACACCACCCCACCCCCGCTGCCAATCCTCAACAGAAATGCTCACAACAATGAAAACCTCGGATAGGAGGAAGAGTGCCGCCAGGTGGGCAGGCAGGTGTCTTGCTCGGCTGTGTCTTGGGGGGCACTTTTTTCAGTGCCATTGTAACTTCGAACTTCACTAAGCGAACTGTTGTAAGTCGAGGACTACCTGTACTTTTATCACTTTTTTCCCTTTTTTTGGGGGGTCATCAAGTTTTTGACACCTTGCTAGGCGACTGGTGGTACTCGGATGTTGCCATATCCTAAAAGTGGTACAATGGGTGAAAAGGTTGAAAAGCCCTGGTCTAGAGGAGAATACTGTAAATCGTGTTAACAATCTTACTATGTAGGCCTGCAACAGGTTTGATTGTTCACTTGCTGGGCAGATCCCAGACAAGGGCAAGTAATTTTCAATTGCAGTGAGCAAAACATCTGTAAGAAGCATCATAGGGCTGGAACGGACCTTGGAGGTCTTCTAGTCCAACCCCCTGCGCAAGGTATTCCATCCTAGACAAAGGGTTGTCCAGTCTTTTCTTGAAAACTTCCAGTGATGGAGCACCCACAACTCTGGGAGGCAAGCCTCTCCACTGATTGATTGTTCTGTCAGGAAATTCCTCCTCATCTCCACTCTACATGTAAATCTGATCCACTCATTGAATGTTATGAATCTCAAAATGCACACAATTGTTTAAGGTGGTATAATTGGTGTGAGGTTGTCTCAGTCAATCCGGATCTCTTTAATGAAAGCCATCAAGCGTTTTGATATGTTGGACAATGTATTAAAAGTTCAAAATTCATACACTAAATCAGGGGTGTTCAAACTTGGCCCTTTTATGACTTGTGGACTTCGACATCCAGAATTCCTCAGCCAGGCACGCCTGGCTGAGGAATTCTGGGAGTCGAAGTCCACAAGTCATAAAAGGGCCAAGTTTGAAGACCCCTGCAATTAAATCCAATCAGAAATTATATCGCCATTATATGCTTTTTTGTTAAAAAAAAAAAAAAAAGGATTGGGACATGCATTTACCATGAAGATTTTCTGTAATGGAAAATCTTCCCACCTGCTCCTGTGTGGAAAGAGGACTTACTTCCCCAGTTTCATATAAGTGCAGAGAACTCCATAGGTCAGTGGTGGCGAACCTATGGCACGTGTGCCAGAGGCCGCACTCAGAGCCCTCTCTGTGGGCACACGTGCTGTTGCCCCAGCCTCGCCTCCCCCCACGGCCCCCTCACCAGCCCCTCTGGAGGAGAGTTGCCCCCGAGCGTGGCCCACACAGAGCAGCGCAGCCAAGGACATGGCAGCTAGGCAGCTTAGACAAGACTCTGCCCTCACACCCCATCCGACAGTTGATGCTGCGGGGTGAGGGCAGAGGGCGTGGCCACCATGGCGCTGCTGGGCTGCCTGGGTGATCGGCAGGCCCTGGAGGCGGTGAGTGGTTTTGCAGGCAGGCAGGGTGAGGGACGGTGGAGGCGGGGCAGGGGTGGAGCAGGGGCAGGGCCTGTTTTTGGGCACTCGGTCTCTAAAACAGTGGTTCTCAACCTTTTTAATGCCGTGACCCCAACCGGTCGTAAGTCGAGGACTAAACCAGTCGTAAGTCGAGGACTGCCCAACCGGTCGTAAGTCGAGGACTTTCCCTGCCCGGGAGTGCCGCGCATGCGTGGTTCCGCCCCCTGTGCCGACCGAGGCGTAGCTGGCAAGCGGCAGAGACGGAGCAGGCCGACCACCAGCTGGCCCAGCCCAAGGGAGGTAAGGCACTCGCCGGGAAAGGGGAAAAAATGGAGGACAAAAAAAATGGCAGACAAAAGAAATGGCAGACAGCCTTGCTTGGCGACCCCCGTGAAATGGTCGATCGACCCCAAATGGGGTCCCGACCCACAGGTTGAGAACCACTGCTCTAAAAGGTTCGCCATCACTGCCATAGGTGAAAAGAAAAAAAGTCCTTTTGTCACTGCATTGTAGTTCTTCCACTGTTCTCTCAGCAGTTGCCCCGAAGGCTTCCTGCATATTTTTTGGCTCACTGGCAATTTCAGTGCAAGTGTTCTTCTCTTCCCTTGTATTCAAGACACCCCCAGGGAGCCCTTGAAGTAGCCTTTGGGGAAGATGCGCTGCCTCAGCAAACTTTGAGAGGGAGTGTTTTGTTCACAAGTTTTACAAAAGGCCCCTTGGAATGCCTTAATTCACGATAGCATGTGCCCTCTTGGAAGAACCAGGACCCGACTCTCCCTCATAATAGATGTGAGCTGCTGCTACTAGTTTTATTACCGTTGCCCATACTCTTCTGGGACTGGTAGACTTGCACACTGTTCTTGTGGGAGTGCCCCGCATTGGGGTGGGCATCAGATGGCACCATAGCAGTCAACATTCTGGTTCTGGCCTTTTCCTTAGAGCAGTGTTTCTCAACCTTGACAATTTTAAGGCATGTGGACTTCAACTCCCAGAATTCCACAGCCAGCATTGCTGGCTGTGGAATTCTGGGAGTTGAAGTCCACATGCCTTAAAATTGTCAAGGTTGAGAAACACTGCCTTAGAGAAACTGTCCTCATGGCAGGAACTGGAGGGTTCTCGGGCATTTGAGGGAACTCTACAAGCCTGACTCCGGGGGGGGGGGGGCAGCCAGAGTTGCTTGGTTCAGTTAGGCCCCGTCCCATGGTTGTAGACAGGATCCGATTGCCGCTATAGAAAATGATGGGGAAAAGAGTTCTAAGATGGCGGCACTTGGATCGGCTGCGGCTGCATTGGCTCTGGAAGGTGAAAAGTTTTGGGAAGGATATTAAGGGATGTAGGCCACATGATCAGGAAAGTTTTAATGTGTTTGAGCAACGTGGTGGAACTAAGGTAACATATGACCGACAATCTTTGCTGGCATGGCGAGTTTCTAGCGGTTTCGGAACTGTTGGCGAGACCGTTAAAAGTTGTTGGCACTGTTTGAAATTGTTCTGCCAGCAGCAAGATCTGACTGCTGGCCCACTGAGGGATTCTATTGCAAATCGGCTGTTTCCAAAGGAGGCAGAGGAGAGGTCGGGCGGGGGGGGGGGTGTTTTATGGAGCGAAGGAACTGGATGAGGCTGTCGGCAGGCCCAGAGGAAGGGAGAGAGGCTTTTGGAAGAGTTGGTGGCAGCGGCAGCATTCTCCAGGGGTGAAAAGGAGTGAGGCCTCTTTAAGGAAAAGGTGGAAGAGACAGGATTAGAAAAAGGAAAGGAGGCAAGATTGTTGTGCAGGAATACAAGCTAATTTGAGGGCTAATCCACATGGATCTCCATTTGTTTCCATCTGTCCTGTTTGCTCCCTACAGACCAAAATGGAAGATCTGTAACTTGAGCTGGCCACGAACAAGGAGTGTATATCGGAGGTGGTGACCCTTTGAGAGCTGTATGCAACGAAATTTCATTTTAAGGTATGCCGGATTGGTGTACATTCAAAGTGACAATAAAATTATTACTATTAAAAGGAATCCCATACCAAATTATGCATCTTCTCCAGCCATGAGACTCCTTCAAGTCAAGCCTGATTCCTTTATAGTCCGTCACAAGAATTTCCTTAATATGCAAGATTTGCTACTGCCGTCTTCCGCAATGCTTTTTTTCAACTTTCTATTCTAGCTTACCACCTTGTACCATTCTGGTACTTAACCAGTACCAACCCGAATTAGCTTTTGGGGATTACCCAAGGTTAACTAGGTTTCATCTACTAATAGAACACTTGTAGTTCGGGTTTGAACTGTGAAATTCTTGGTGCTCTCCGATATTCTAGGCAACATCACCAGTTTCATTTAATTGGTCCCAACTACTGTGAGGGAGAAGTGAGAGAAGCAGAGGAACTCTACACAATAACTGCTATCAAAGCAAC